ATACTTCTTCCATGTCAATATTACGTCTTACACAGTGCTCCTTGGGATTTTTAACCTTTGAGGGAACTTTTTTTGTATCCTAATCAGGCTCTAAACTTCTCCACAACAGTATGTCGGACCTGCCTGGTCACGGTGCTTGTTTCTTATAATGCTCTCTGTGCTTTAAACAGACTATTGAGAGTATTACAGATGCCCTAGTTGTCAGTGTGGATAATGTAGTAGGATGATATTTTTCCTCTGCACTTTCAAATGTTAATGGATTGTCTTCTGACATGTAGTTAGTGTTTCAGTATATTCCTGCTGTTGTTTTCTTTTGTTCTTCTGTTGTTTTTTTTCTTTTAAAGGAGTAAATAGCAGATTTCTTTAGTGTAGCTGTGGTTTTAACTAATTATTCCATTGGCACGAGGAGCACTTTTGGCAAAAATTTAAAAGTTTTGAATTGATCCTGCTAACAAATCAAAAACGTTCCATTTTTCAGTTTTTGTCTTTAGTAAAATACCTCCAGAATTTTTGAGTCCCATGGTGAGGCTGTCAATAGTTGCTGCTGCCCCCCTCTGGTTTAGTGAGGAAACGCTTGTTCCAAAAAAAAAAATTAAAATCATCTTTTAGTCCTTTAAAAATGTATTGTTCAGTGACATGAAGGACATCTCTGATTTAAAAAATAATTAAAATCTGTCTATTAACAGACACACAAACACTCAATCTCTCTTAAAAACAAAACCTACTTGGCGGAGGTAATTATAAAGTAAATGCAACAAAAAGTTTATTATACTAAATGCAACAAAATCTGCAATAAAAATAGCATATTAATGCTACATAAAAGGCACATATTTTGTTCATATTTTTCTCATATATTCCTGAGAGGGAGAAGTGAGAATAGCAACAATGCCCAAGACATTTAAAAGACAGCAGATTTCCAATTTCACACCTAATAAAACTATAACTGCCATTTCGACTGAAAAACAAATGTAAGGGCATTTCTAAAACGTGCAAAGTCTCCCTGAGACTTGTAAAATTGAAATACGAAATTGAATAAGAAAATCAAAGGAAGAGCACCAGGTATGCTGGAGATAAACGAAAAGAGGACAAAGTCGAAGAGGATGGCTTTGGTACCGAAAGCAGATGGAGGGGTGGGGTTGGGTGAAGCACGAAGAGGAGAGGAGAGGTTAGCAGTGAGTGAAAAAGTGGGGTAGGAGGATGGAACAAAGGATTACAGATGAAAGAGAAGGGATGATTAGGGATCTGGAAGCTGACATGCATGGATTTGACACAGTGTAATTGGTGTTAGAGAAGCTGGGGCTGAGCGGGGAGGAGGGGGAGGAAAGGGGGAGACCGAGAGAAAGGAACAGACAGAACTAGAAAAAGGTCAAAACACTAAATTTGACTTCTCAGCCATTTTTAAACTGAGACTGATTCAGTTTTCCAGAACTAAAATGACAGCCTCTTCATTAAGCTGATTTAAATTTATTATGCAAATCATCATAGACATCAATGTTAGTGATCATTTTAACTCAACACAAATAGACACATCTACTTTAATCTATATCCTCACAGTGCTGTCACCACCATTTTATGTCTAAGTGAATTATATTGGAGAAAAATCTGTTTAGCATAAAACAAAGAGAGCCTTGACTCTCTTTGTTTTATTAATTTAAAAATATACAAAAGATTTAAAAAAAAGCCAGAAAATCCAAAGAAATAAAACTGCATTCTATTTTGTAATTGCACAAACATGTGCCGTCTTTGCAATAATATTCTCATCTTAATAATAAAACAAAGAGCTTCCACATTTACAACGTTCATCCTAAGAATAAAAACGACATATCAAAAATAGTTCAATCATTCAAAGATTTGTGAGGCTGTTTCAAATGTTTAACACGAGGAAAATTTATATGGCGATTTAACCACATCTAGTGAAAAAGAGACTCGTTTTATGACATGAATAACAATGGAGCCAAAAAAAAAGGATTTTAGCCTCGGACTGCTTAGAAAAACAGTTTGGGTTCCTGTGATTTGAGAGTTCTGAGTTAAAAGTCATATGCTAATTTATAATCTAAATTCTAGGTGCATCACATAATGAGAAGTAAATCACATCCAATGTTTTGATGTCCAAAATTGTGTAAAGGTTAGGTTTAGTAGTCTGGGGGAACATGTTTGAGAGGATTGTGTGTGTGCATGACTTCAAGCAGAAGACACAAGGACGTGTTATAGCCCAGGACAGGCCAGCTACCTTCTGAATGATGATGCATTGTGGCAGCATTCCTGCAGACAGAGCAATCATTATTTGAATTCCAGTTGTGTGCTGGACCGATTTTTTTAATTTGATATGGGCATTTACAAAGGTATTTTTTATTTTATAATTGTTTTAATTGAAATAAAAGCCTAGTATGCATCAAACACCTCGCCTAAAAAGATGATGCTGACTGAGCCACGAGTTGCCTCAAAGCCCAGCTGTCTGCCTGTGTGTGTTAGTGGGTGTCTAAATCAAATATTACTCATTCTAGACGCAGTTTATCTATGGATTCACATTGACCGGCTCTGAGTCGGGAGGTGACCGATCTACTTGGAGTTGCAGCAAGGTCACGAGTGCTGACGCTGTAAGTGGATCTGTGTGCAACGAGACCTTCCAAAGAGCAGAAGGACGACAAATAAATGGGAGGTGGATTAAAACTTGTAGTGTTTTAGCACTTGCCTCTTACATCATGTTATTAATTGCTTCACAGAGCACACCAAGGAGAGCTGGTCTGGAATAATAGTGTTTTTTTTAAGCTACCAATTCCACCTTCTCATTTGAATGTAAATGCTGGTAGCCACTATGAACTAGGGTGTGGGATTTATCTTTACACAGCAGCCAAATCTCCTTAGAGAAACTGTTTATGTTCATTGCATACATAAGTTAGCCAGGGTGTGTTTTCCTTTTCTTTTCTAAATAAACATTTCATAAGGACTCAGTAGAGCCTTGGATAAAGAATCAAAAATTATCTAATTACACAGAACCGGTTGTCATGACATCTTTGAAAGCAAATGTTTGGTTTGACTTTACAGAAAGGTATTTAAAAACATCTCCAGCTAAAGAGACTCTAGAGCACCTTTCCTATTGAAATAA